TGAAGCCATACAAATTCTATTTATACAAGCCATCTTTAAAAGAAACAAAAGTAACAGATGATGCCTGAATCACACTTCTTTACGTTGTAGCCATATAAATCCCATTTATACAAGCCATCTTTAAAAGAAACAAAAGTAACAGATGATGCCTGAATTATACTTCTTTACCCTGTAGCCATATAAATCCCATTTATACAAGCCATCTTTAAAAGAAACAAAAGTAACAGATGATGCCTGAATCACACTTCTTTACGCTGTAGCCATATAAATCCCATTTATACAAGCCATCTTTAAAAAAAACAAAGTAACAGATGATGCCTGAATTACACTTCTTTACCCTGTAGCCATATAAATTCCATTTATACAAGCCATCTTGCATACAACAGGTCAATGGAATCAAGGTTTGGTACATACATCACTGGCGTGAAACCTTTTCAAAGAAGCGAGATTTTCAAATAAAAATCCAAGTTTGAAAAATAAAATTAAAAACTATAATAAATAACATGTTAGTTGATCAAAAAAGGAGAATCGTACGTTAAATGGAACTGGTTGCGCGAAATATGCGTATAAAAAATGGATTTTTATCTTAAAAACAAGAAAACCACACTGTGACTTCCCATACTTAACATGAACATTTAATATACAAATTTGTCAAGCGTTAAAAGCGGAATCTAGTAGCTTTAAAAAAAGTGAGAATGTGAAACCGAGGGGACTAAATACTGACCTACCTTCAAACTGTCGGACAACGCACACGATGTGTTGACCAGCCTGTTTAGAGAGCTGAAGAGCTGCATCGAGATGAGAGTGTACTCCTGAAAAATCAACCACTTTTGATGAATAACAGAGATGATGTGTTGACCAGCCTGTTTAGAGAGCTGAAGAGCTACATCGAGATGAGAGTGTACTCCTGAAAAATCAACCACTTTTGATAAATAACAGAGATGATGTGTTGACCCGACTGTTTAGAGAGCTGAAGAGCTACATCGAGATGAGAGTGTACTCCTGAAAAATCAACCACTTTTGATAAATAACAGAGATGATGTGTTGACCAGCCTGTTTAGAGAGCTGAAGAGCTACATCGAGATGACAGTGTACTCCTGAAAAATCAACCACTTTTGATGAATAACAGAGATGATGTGTTGACCAGCCTGTTTAGAGAGCTGAAGAGCTACATCGAGATGAGAGTGTACTCCTGAAAAATTAACCACTTTTGATAAATAACAGAGATTTTGTAGATATTGTTTGAAAATGTAAACGTTTAGACATCAATACTCATTTGCCATTCCTTCATCTGAAATCAATGGCACAGGAAATGAGATCATAAAAAGATTTCTTATGCTAACATAAATGTGCAGAAATGTTTTCTACTGCCTTCAGAGGAACCAATTTTATTGGAAATGTATTTTACATGTGTAGAATATAAACATTTAACTTTTTGCTTTGGAGTAAAAACAATGAGTTTTACATTACAACCATCAAACATACATCACTTCTAGTCAAAGAGGGCATGTTAAAGATATCAAATTCAACCACTGCTGGCCACAAAAGTCACGTTAAAACAATGAAACATATAACATTTTTGGCCACAGAAGTTACGTTACGACCATCAAACGTACACTACTGCTGGCCACAAAAGTCACGTTAAAACAATGAAACATATAACATTTTTGGCCACAAAAGTCACGTTAAAACAATGAAACATATAACATTTATGGCCACATTTTATTGTCAATAACAGAACATCGATAAGATGTCCATAAACTTGATAAGAAGTACTTTCTGTGCTTACTGACGGTTAATTAAGTATTCATGCAACAATACTTTTATTGTCAATAACAGAACACCAATAAGGATGTACACAAACCTGACAGGATGTACTTTCTTTGCTTCTGACTGTTGATTAAGCCTTCCTCGAAAGCCACCCGTGCTCCGTACTGAATTATTCTCAATAACGTCTCAGCATCTTCGGTCCAGCTCTGGACTTGTTGAAGGAAGAGATATTTCTTACAAAGGTCGGGACGCCTGGAGATATGTTTCATGTTTGTTCATCATCGCCATCATGTATCAATAAGTAACTAATGCTAATTATTAAACACACATTTAAACATTAACATGAATTCCTATCATACTTACTCAGCGCCCCCCAGTGGCATAGTAATGAATTCCTATCATACTTACTTAGCGCCCCCCAGTGGCATAGTAATGAATTCCTATCATACTTACTTAGCGCCCCCCAGTGGCACAGTAGTATGTCTATGGACTTACAACGCTAGAAACCGGGTTTCGATAACCGTGGAGGACAAAGCACAGTTAGCCCATTTTGTAGCTTTGTGCTTAACTTCAAACAAAGAAACATACTTATTTAGCAATAAATAAATAACACCCTGTTTAGGTTACGGAACTCATCATTTTAAATATCTTGTTTCTTTATTTTTATTATCATGCATCAGCAGGCAAATAATGCTGATAACCAGATGATTAACTCTTGAAATATCAAACAAGATACATCATTAAAATAGCTCTGCACGGAGTTAAACTATTCGGATAAAATCATTATCGGAGATAAACTATCCGGATAGAATACTCTTAGCTAATATTTTACCTTAGAAGGCTACTTTATATTAGTGTTTTTCTGATATAGGCCTACTTTATATGAATGATTTCATTATAGCGGTTTCTGTCATAGACCTACTTTATATGAGTGATTTCATAATAGTATTATAGGCTCCCCATAAATCAATTATTTCGTTATAATATTTCGTGATATAGGCTTATTTTATATGAGTGATCTCATTATAACGTATTCTATTATAGGCGTACTTTATATGTGTGATTTACTTATAGCGTTTTACGTTATAAGGTTACTATATAAATACATCAATGATTTCGTTATGGCATTTTCAGTTATATATATACTTTATATCACTGATTTCTATAACGTTTTCCGTTGTAGGTCTATCTTATATGAGTGAATCCGTTATAAGTTTTTCTCTTATAGTTTTGTATTATATGAGTGATTTCATTATAATATTTTCCGTTATAAACCTATTTTATATGAGTGTTTACACTATAGTTTATTCTGTTTCGGCCTATTTAATAAGAATGATTTCGATATAGCATTTTTCTTACAGGCCTGCTTTATACAAGTGATTTCATTATAGGCCTACTTTATATGAAATATTTCATTATAGGCCTACTTTATATGAAATATTTCATTATAAACTTTTCCGTTATAGGCCTTCTTTATATGAGATATTTCATTATAAACTTTATCGTTATAGGCCTTTTTTATATGAGTGTTTTTGTTATAGCATTTTCACTACAGATCTATTTTTTAAGAGCTATGTCGTTATAATGTTTTCAGTTATAAGCATACTTCATATTAATACTTCCGGTTATAGGCCTACTTTATATGAGTGATTTTGTTATCATATTTTCAGTTATAAGCCTAATTTATATGAGTGATTTTATTATAATGTCTTCGTTATACACATATTTTGTATGAATGATTTCGTTATGAGGTTTTAGTTTTCGTTATCGGCCTACTTTATACCAATGATTTCTATAAAATTTTTTCAGTTTAGGCCTACTGTATTTGAATGATTTTGTTATAACCCTACTTTATACGAATGATTTAGTTATAATCTTTTCGCTATAGGCGTAATTTAGAAGAGTGAATTAGTTTTCCATTATAAGCGTGCTTCCTATCAGTGATTTATATAAGGTTTTCTGTTATAGACCTACTGTATATGAGTGATTTCGTTATGTCGTTTTCTGTTATAATCCTACTTCATATGAAAGAATCCGCTACAGACGTACTTTATGTGAATGATTTCTATAACGTTTTTGTTATTGGTCTATTTATTCGAATGATTACGTTTTAACGTTTCTATTATAGGTTTACTTTATATAAGTCATTTTGTTTTCAGTCATAGGCCTACTTTATGTGAGTGATTTTCCTTTTACTGCTTTCCGCTATAGCCCTTCTTTATATGAATGATTTCGTTATAGAGTTTTCTGTTACAGGCCTGCTCTATATCAGTGATCTTGTTTTAGCGTTTTGTGGTATAGTGATACTTTATATAAGTGATTTTCGTTATAGGCCAACGTTGTATGAATGGTTTTATTACAGAGTTTTCTGCTTAGGTCTACTTTGTATAAATGATTTCGTTTTAACGTTTTGCATTATATTTCGTTTTAACGTTTTGCATTATAGACTGTCTTTATATGAGCAATTTTAGTATAGCGTTTTGGGTTACAGGCCTACTTTATACGAACGATTTCGTTACAACATTTTCTATAAAGACTTACTTTATATGAAATATTTCGTTATAAGTGTGAAAATATAGTGTGTTCCTTATAACTAGCCATTCTTTTTTTTCTTTCAAAATATTTGACATGGTCGTGATTTCTGTATATGCTCGTCTGAATGGAATTTTGTGATAAGTAATAAAGATTTGAAGAATTGATATTCTAGAACGACGAACTTAGATAACTTAATGTGTTAAAAGGTTAAATCTGCAGGTGAAACTCAGATCACATTCTGTTTCGTAATTTAATTACAAAAACGTTAGCATTATTTCAAAGAGCCAGGTCTTTGTGACTAAAGTACAAAACGTAACCCTGAATTTCAAACCTTTATGTTTTTTAAAGATACTATACGAGATATTAAACACTTCTATTTCTTGACTGTGTCGAGAGGATATTAGGCATTTATATTTTTAGGCCGTGCATACAATTTATTAAAAACTTTTACTTTACAACTTGTAAACAGGATGGTAAACAGTTCTGTTTTTTAATACATAGCAATTGAAGTATTTTTATCTTTACAACGTGAGTGTGTGATGAGCCACAATAAGTTAAACGTGAACAATATTTAACGAACAAAAAATCATTGTTTAAAGTATTTTTTTATTGTAACAGTGTGAATTTGTGAGTATTATCGTACACAGAAGTTTTTGTTTGTTCTTTACAAAAAGCAAGTGTTTGAATATTTGAATAATTGCATTTTGGATAAAAACATCTTACCTTAACTCAACGTGTTCGTTCTTGCTTTGTGGGGGTTGAAGGATATAGGCTGGTGGAACGAGATTATTGTTACATTTGTACCATTGGTCCAGCAGAGCAACATCAAGACCTGCATCCAAAGCTGCATTATAAATGTGATTGAATTCTGATGATTCAATGCTGAGTGGAAAAGGATACGGTCTGTATTTATTTCCCACCAGGCACTACAAGAAAATATTAACAAGTGTCATATGAGGATCTAAGCTGAAAAAAGGAAATACCACATAAATGACGAGCTTTTACATCGTACAAATCTTTCTTTATTAAATCAAACTCTCGGCACCGCCCACAACAACCCTCAATTGAATGGTGCTTAGTCTGGTGGCACTAAGTTTAAACTACTGCGACATGGTTTTGCATATATGGAATGTACAGAGCTTATGAGATTTCGTGAGAGATAGTTTCTAAAAAATAATGGGTAAAAACTTCTGAGCATTCAGCGTGATTGTGTGGTGTTATCTTTACAGACCTTTAAAACACCACTCTGCTTGCAATAGCATGCCAAAAACAGCCCGTGATTCATGTCATTTCTACTACAAAAAATATATGAAGCATTTCAGAATTACTGTACGACACTCTCTCTCTCACAGATACTACTCTCAATGAAAAACTAAATAAATAATCAAAACATGAGTTCTCAAACTTTATTTATACTAAAGGGAATAATGTGTATATCTTTAGATGGATTTTTGGAAACTTTCTTATCAAAAGAATCAAAGTCTACGAATGCTTCAGCTTTTCCTCAAAAGAAAAAGACATGTTAGTTCGTTGTTAAGCGTAAAGTTATACAATGGGTTATCTGTGGTATGCCCACAAAAAGAATCGAACCATAACATTTTACGTTATAAATCGTCTAACTTACAGTTGTCCGACTAAAGGGCATTTAAAACTAAAAGCCAAAAATTCTATAACAGATTTAATTAAATTGTAACTCCCGTAAGTATTAACTTCTCGTTTCGATTACTTACACAATATGTCCAGTGCTCGTTTTGTTATCAAGCACAAAGTTGCATAATGGGCTATCTGTGTTGTGCCCAGTAGTGATCAAATCTAGAATATTAGCCTTATAAGCTCTCAAGCTTACCGTTGATACACCAGGGGGCAATTCTTTAAGTGTTTGTTATGTTGCTAAGCAAAAAAAAAACTATGGACGCTGTGCTAATTGCTGAGATCAAACCCTGAATTTTAACTATAAGCCATCAGGCTTACCGCTGAGCCATCGAGAGGCAATAATTACGGCCAGTGAGAGAATTATAGCATAAAAATCACACCTGAATAAAACAAAAAGAAATTCTGTTATCTAATTGTTTCAGTTTTTAAACAAATATTTCAATTACTTTAATGCACTTACTTTAGATTTAATACTTAACTTTAAACATTTCTCTTAGAAAATTTCATCTACACTGCTTCTGAAAATTTGTTAATGTCAAAATAAAACAATTTGGAATTATTCTCATTGTATCATTTTATTCGTGTTTTATAAAACTGGATTCTGAACAAAATGTGATGTGGTGAATTATGAGCCAAGCTGAATGTAGATTCATTTTAAGGCACATGAATACAATTTGAGTAATCCCAAGTTGTTTATGAGATATCGCCTGTTGTTTGAGGAAAAGCAGAATTTAGGATTTCGTTTCTAAAGCTTATTTCGCATAACTCAGCTCAGAACGTCACTGTTTCTTCCAGATCTTTCTCACACGTTGTCGTCCTTATAGTTAACACACTTTCCAATCCCATGTAATATGATTGATAATTTGTGTAATTCTAGCAAGATCCTAATCTGATATAATATAATAACGATTATATGATAAGTGTTTGTAGCACACAAAAAAATATGTGAAATCCATCCAAAAATACTTAAGCAAAAAATAAAGCCAAAGTTCTACTTTAGCTCAAACAGCAGGTGATATCTCATTATCACAACTAAGCGTTTGCAATGCGAGTACCTAGAGACAACGGCCAGCGGATCGTTATTCTATCTCTCCCAAGTTTTATAATATATGTTAATCTTAACGCTAGAGGCATGGCACAATAAATTCAATGTGTGTCTGCTTAGTTAAGGCAATAACCTACTTCTTTTTATTTGTAAATAAATATTTGTTCTTGAAAACGTGACACATCGGCGGTGAATAAGAAACAGCATCGATTAATAATAAGAATTAATAGCCTCATCATCATCATCCGGTCATTTTCGTCCTTGCGAATGAGAAATTTAAGTGTACACTTGTTTGCAAAGTTTCATTTTCAAAAATACAAAGTATGATATACGAGGGAATTTCAAAATAACCTGAATTTCACCATTATTCACCAGTAAAAAAACTGTAACTCCAAAAAAATTATAAAAACCAAGTGCGGTAGTAAACACTGGATTTTTACCACTAAGAAAAAATATTTTCACCATTTTCTTATTGCTGTATAAAGATTGGTCGTACTGAAAACTTCACGTGCCTTTAGAATCAGGCCCGGCATGGT